TCGTGTGTAATAACTGAGACAAATTTAGACATGAATAATCAGTTCCTCGGTTAGCTTCTCATAGTCTTCCGCGTTTTGCTTTCCGCGGCGTATGTATGCAAAGAACGACAATAACGGCTGCCGCCAACAAGGCGAATAAATGCGAGCATTCAATGTCGATAACTCCAAAACGGTGGACTTTATCAAATCTATTAAGCCAGATTCGAATGGAGCATCTACAATTACATATAAATGTAAGTATTCTGGAATATTTTAATACGAACGGGTGTTACACTACAAATTAACCACTTCCAAAATAAACCACAACGACATTTACATAAAAGCGAGTCAACTATAATGATCGAAGGTTTTTTTTTTTTTTTTTCCTCAGTAGTACGGGCGCACTAAATTCAATCGAAGGGACGAAACGTATTGCTCGTAATATGCATCGCGACGTAACAGAGAAAAACATGCTTCCATCTGTGAATATTCACCAAACTAAGAAGATTGCTGACAATCCCCAGCATATTGCAATGTAAGCGAAAGTAGTTGTAAGCGAAGAAAACTGATTTAGAGAAATCGAGACAGGAGCCTGACCGAAATCCAACAAAGAATCCGTGGAAGAAGCTTAAACCACGAGTTCGTCAGAGGAAAAGCAAAATCTTAAGTGATCTTAAGGCGATTTGCGTAGTAGGAATGAGATCGAGTTGGTGTTAATTTCTGCAAGAGGCTTACATGCAGTGATTACAAACGTCTGAGTAATGTCATATTAAATAATGTTTAGTTTATTGCATATCAAGAGGGGTTTTTTTGAGTCCCAAATTTTGCAGGTTTCAATAGCAGCAACAGCTAACAAGAATAGAGCATATAACTCGAAAACAAAATGAAGGTGGCGTTCCACACTTCTTCAAATAAAATGTTAGAAAGAAAACACTCAATCAATACTGGAACAAGCATTAGCGATAGTGATTTTGTGAAAACAATTTTGCTGAAAAATTATTCAAAGGCAGAGAGTTCAACCGATCTGCCAGCCGACTCGCTGAGCGATTTCCTTCACCTCCTACATATTATAGGTGGAAGAGTCTATTAACTATAGAATAGGTGTGTTCCACTATAACATTTATTCAGATCCAGTTTTATATAAGTTGTAATTATGGGAACTATTTTATTTAAGATCATGCAAGTCAACATATCTTTTTTCTCATGATAATATATATATATATATATATATATATATATATATATATATATATATATATATATATAAAAGAAATATGTTGTAGTGGTTCCAACGAGAGAAAAGTATGTATATTAAAAAAAGAAGAGAGGTGCCGTAAACGTTTTTGGTTGTAATGTGGATTTATTTAGAAAAAATATTATGCTTTGTTTTACATAATTTTACGACACGTGTTTCTGGTCTCGCGACCGTCTTCAGGTAAAAGTGGAGATTTCTACATATTATTAAAAATAATTAATTTTTATGTTCAATGTTAAATATCCTCGATATGAGACATTCTCTGTTTGTGTGTTGGTAATCCGAATATCTTTCTTGAATTGGCAATGAAGAGTTCTGCACGAAGGGTCATAAAACAATTAAGGTTGGTCCAGCGAGATGATGAATTAGTTATCAGCATTTTATCTTTTAATGTTTTACTGACCCCTATGTGTTCTTGGATCTGTGTCCATTTTGGTGCGTTTCTGTCAGCATGCGTGTATATATGCGTGCTTATATTTCCCCTCCATATATATACTGTCTTACTACGAGGAATTAGTAAGATAATTTGTACATATACACGCATACACACACATACGCACATACACACTATCCCACCACAAGGAATCTATACATACACACACACACACACACAATATATATATATATATATATATATATATATATATATATATATATATTAAGTTATAATTTTCTCATATAGAGAAAAACAATTTACTCTCTACAAGGATGCAACCTTGTTTCGGTGCATTTAGCTGCACCTCGACTGGTGAGAACAAAAATGTTTATGTACAATTCTGTTTGTAAGCAGTCCGTTCGTAGAACGTGACTTCCTTTTTCTATTTTCTTGAAAAAAAAATACATTTAAAGGGGGGACATATAAGGGTAAAGAAAAGAGAGGAAATGCAAGAGGCTGACAGAGTAAGACAATTGTGCTTGTTGATAGCAGTTTGGTGAAAGATTGTTGAGGTGTTACGGTGATATCTCGATCCGAAAATGTTTTTTTTTTAAATTGACAGCAACGGTCAAGGGTTAAGCACAGCACTTCTAAGCCTCCTAATAGTGACAGGTGGGGAGGAAAGGTGGGAATAGTAGAGAGCAAGACAATGAAGGAGAAGAGGATATGTTTATACGATGGCTGTAATAGTAATTGGAAGTGTGTGTGTGTGTGTGTGTGTGTGTGTGTGTGTGTGTGTGTGTGTGTGTGTATGATAAAATATAGTTTAAAATAGGCTATCGCTATGGATAATATCGCTCTATATTCGGGATAGAGTGTGTGAAAATATAAGATCATTCACTGAACACAAGTTTAATCTTAAGTGCAATATCCAGGCCTGATAATAAGATAAAGTTTTATTGAGAGTAAGAAAGACAATGAGAAATCAAAGATACAGAGGTAGAAATGTGAAAAAGGGAAGAGAAGACAGAAAATGAGTAGTTCAGTGGGTAAAAAAATCAAGAAAAACGATCAGAGAGAAAAGGATAGATGCACTAGGATAAAACAAGTGAGGGTGCGAAGATGTGTGCAAGAAAGCAACATTGAAGGAGTTTGATCGACATTTCGATAATGAGTGTGATTTTCTTTTTCTTTTTTTTTTTTGATTTTTACCCAGTGCAAGATATTTGTAAGATCATTTCTAAACAAGAACAATTACTTTGGGAAAAAATAAAACTGCAAAGGGGATGCTTCTTCGCTACAATCTTCACCTCATTAAGTAGACATTCAACATTTATCTCTCCTCATAATATACAACAATTATAATGTACACGCCATTGCAAAAATCTTATTCAGTAGGGTTCTATCTGGAGTGGTTCTTGTTGCAGTTTTTTGTGTATATTATGTAACTAGTGAGCTAGCCCAAATGACTAGACTCACTTTATAGTCCACCAATAGAAGGTTAACCAATCAGACAAAGTAGAACATTCAATCTGTCGTGTATAAAGGCGGCCATTTTGTTTACTCTACCCGAATGTCCAGTGCCAGCTTGTCAGGCGAAAAGAAACAGAAGGACAAACTACGCTCTGCTACTTTTACCAAAATATCCACTGCTAACCTGAACTACGCTTCCCTACTGTCTTCGAAATATTCACTGCTAACCTCTGGATTCTATACTCAAAGACGACCGTCATCATGAATAACAGTTCTTGTGTCTTATATTCAATGAACAATTGTATAAAACAGATATAAATTGTGAAGGTTAGAGATATTTTACAATATGTCAATGATATTTTTTAAAATCATTTCACTCCAAACAAGGGGGAATGCCACTAGTGCGCAGAGTGTTTACAGGAAGCAAAAGTGAAACTGAAAGTGAAAGTGAAAAAGAAGACTGAAAATAGGTAGGACTGATCCAAGGACAAAAGATAAACGGGATTCAAGAATACAGAAGATGGCGATTGATGTTGCATTTGGATTTTTGAAGATTGTAGTTTTCAGGGAAGGAAATGACTGGGAGTTCCACAGGTGTGGAGTGCGGGAAAGGAAACTGTTGGAGTAGTAGTGGCGGCTGAAGTTAGCTATTTTAACAGTAAACTTGATGTCAATCTAACAGTACGCTTAAATTCAGGTAGCTGGAAAAAAATCTCATCAGTGTCCATGGAAAGATTTATAAAAAAAGACAGAAGGAAGTCACGTCACGTCGATGAGAAAGTGTCTGAAGTCGAGATGTTTTGTCGGGACCGATTACATTCAGATCCTTTATGGATTTTTTGAAGAGCCTCGAGATGTATAGCAGAAGCACCAGATAGGGTGACAGTATTCAATGCACGGACGAAAGGTAGATTTGCAAATGTGCAAAATGAATTCTGACAAGAAAAAAATTCTGATACGACACACTGACTGAACTTTCCTTGCTGTAAATGCAGCTATTGATGCAATATTGTATCTCCACTTCCAGTCAGTGGAACACGTTAGACCAAAAAAGGCGGAGTATGTTGCTCACCTGAAGTCTAGCGTCATCCATGATAATGGCAGGCAGAAAATGATCTCTATGGTCTTAAATGAAAGCAGATTTGTGTCGAATTTTTCTGTGCGGCGCAAATTGGGGATCGAACACACTTCTCACAAATAATAATCAGCCAGACTAGATTCGCGTAACACTGACCCAACTCGAGGCGGCGAATATAAAAACGAGAACGTGATTGAGGAATGGAAAAAAGAGCAAAAGCGAGAGAGAACGTGGAAGGAAAAATACAAGAGTGAAGGTGAGAAGAAGAAACAAATTGTTTGGAAATATCCATAGAAAAGACTGAGGGAAGCCACGTCACGTCGATAAGAAATGACTGAAGTCGCGATGTTTGGTCAGGATCGATTAAATTGCAGATCCTTCTTTGGAATTTGTCAAGAACCTCGAGATGAATAGCAGAAGCACCAGATAGGGTAACAGTATTCAATGCACGCACGAAAGGTAGATTTGCAAATGTGCAAAATGGATTCTGACAAGAAAAAAATTTGATACGACACAGTGATTCAACTTTCCTTGCTGTAAATGCAGCTATTGATTCAATGTTGTCGCTCCACTTCCAGTTAGTGGAAAACGTGAAGCGATCATGCGAGAGAGAAAGAGATATATATAGAGAGAAATAGAGAGAGAGAGAAAGAGATAGAGCGAGAGAGAAAGAGAGAGAGACAAGTTTGAAAAGACAGAAATTATAAAGAGTGGGATATGAAGAGAGAAAGGGAGATAGAGAGAGAGATGCATAGAAACAGATATATTGTGATAAATATAAATTATCAGATAGAGAGGGAACCGGCGTTACTGACAACGAGATTTATTTAGAAAGTGACAGAGATCAAGAGTGTGAGAGAGAGAGAGAGAGAGAGAGAGAGAGAGAGAGGGGTCATTTAATTTGTAAAGAGAGTGATAGTGAATTGAATAATAAAAAGAGATAGAGAGAGAGGGAAGGAAAAAAGACAAGCAAACAAATACAATAATATAGATAAAAAGTGAGAGCAACAAGGGATACAGTGTGTCAAAGAGAGAGAAAGAAGGGTGAGAAATGTAAGGGAAATCAATATGGAAGAAGGTGATATCATATGGAGAGAAAGCATGAAAGAGAAACTTCAGTTGAACGAAGAACAGGATAATTTAGAGATTGTATAGAGAATATGAGCGAGTGAATACGAGAGATAGGAGGAGAAGTATAATGGTAAAATGATGTAGAGAGAGACCATAAAATCGAGAATTAGAACGTAAAAGGCGATCAAGATAGATAGATAGATAGATAGGCAGATACACAGAGAAAGAGAGAGAGTTGGTATTTGGGACAGGTTTGGAAAAGAGAAAGAAAGTGAGAAAGAGAATGACTTAATTTAGCAAGAGATAAAAGAGAGAATTGGGAAAAGACAAAAAACTAATTTATCGAGAGAATGTCACAAAACAAGAAAACAGAGAGAGGGAGATTAATTTGTTTGTTTTTAAAGGGCATATCAACTGCTTATGGATCATATAATTGCGAAATTTAATTTTTTGGAAAGCATTAGTAACATCATTTACAAAAAATGTATTGCTGGTAATTTTTTTGTCTTTTTAATGTATTGCTGGCATTTTTTTCCTATGAAATATATATTTTATACTTTCATTTTGTTTTGACCCCATTTGTGGGTAAACATTTTGCCCATAATTGGGAACCTAACAGGTGCTACCTCCCTGAGTCAACGTGCATCTGTGAACAACAATAATTAAGAGGTGGTTCCAAGCTTCTCAAAACGTTCCAATCAGAGGCCTTGTTGGATGTAGTTTATCGTCATACACTGGACGAGAGAAAATAATATATAGAAAATATGTGTGAAAGAGAATAAAATGAAAGAGGGAAAGAGAGAAAGAGAGCGAGTGTGTGATTGTGAGTGAGAGTGTTTGTGTGTTTACAAAAACGAGATAAAACGGGGAAAAAAAGAAAGAAATTGAAATTAAGCAAGATAGTAAGAGTTAGACACAGACAGATAGTTTAGACAAATATGAAAGAGCAAACAAAAGATCAAGAGAGCGGGTAGCAAAGAAAGAATTGTTTTGAAAGGGAGAGTGATGGAGATGAAAAGAGAGAGAGGAGGAAGATGATCCTTTAGAAAAATAGTGTAAAAGGGACGACGACAGAAAAACTGAATGGAATGAAAATAGAGAGAAAAAAGGAATTACTTTGAAAGAGAGAATGTAAACATCAGTAGAGGAATGAAGACAGAAAGACAAATTATTTAGAGAAGGACAGGAAGCAAGTGAGGAGAGAGAGTGAGAAAGAAAGTCGTAAAGAAAGAAAAACGAATTATTTTTATCACAACGGTAACGACCATGTTAGAAACATGGAGAGAGAAAGTGAGAGAGTGGGGAGAAGAAAGATAGTATAAAAAATAGAAATCTTAATTATGTAAAAAAAAGAGGGTGATAGCGAAAAAGTTGGTATGAGAGAAATAGAAGAAAAAGGAGAAAAACGGAACATTTTGAAAGGCAAAACGATAATCATCAAACAAGAGAGATACAGTGTAACCCGGATATAAGAGAGTTGTCGGAACCGGAGAAGAAGTCTCTTATATCCGGGTTTCTCTTATATCCGGGTTTGGTCTATTTTATATACATTAACACAGGTTCTAATTTGGGACCAGAGAAAATCTCTCTTATATCCGGGTCTCTTATATCCGGGTTTGGTCTATTTTATATACATTAACACAGGCTCTAATTTGGGACCAGAGACAATCTCTCTTATATCCGGGTTTCTCTTATATCCGGGTTTGGTCTATTTTATATACATTAACACAGGCTCTAATTTGGGAACAGAGAAATATCTCTCTTATATCCGGGTTTCTCTTATATCCGGGTTTGGTCTATTTTATATACATTAACACAGGCTCTAATTTGGGAACAGAGAAATATCTCTCTTATATCCGGGTTTCTCTTATATCCGGGTTTGGTCTATTTTATATACATTAACAAAGGCTCTAATTTGGGACCAGAGACAATCTCTCTTATATCCGGGTTTCTCTTATATCCGGGTTTGGTCTATTTTATATACATTAACACAGGCTCTAATTTGGGACCAGAGAAAATCTCTCTTATATCCGGGTTTGGTCTATTTTATATACATTAACACAGGCTCTAATTTGGGACCAGAGAAAATCTCTCTTATATCCGGGTCTCTCTTATATCCGGGTTACATTAGAGATAAAGAACGCAAAAAGTATACAGTGAAACAAATTAGGGGAAAAGTCTAATAGATTGTTCGTTAACTGTCCAACTCTTTGCCTCGGCAGAGAGGAACTCGGACGAAGCTTTGCCGCAGGGCAAAGTTTCGTCTGGGGAGGTAGACAGTCCCTGAACCCGTTTAGGTGGGTTCAAAGGGAATATTTTTGGCCAAGTTAAGAAACCCACGTTAAACTCGGCCTTGTGCCACATACATTCCTTGTGGTGGGGACTGTTAAACATAACAGTAAAACAAATTATGTTGGAACTTCGGTTCACGAATTTAATTCCGTTCGTAATCAGAAATGTTCTTAAACCGAAACTATTGTTCCAATAAGAATCAATGTAAAATGCATTAATCTGTTCCTGGTCCCAAAATGATTGCTTATTTAAACTTTTACATACACAAAACTAATGAAGAGCATTAAATCGAAGAAAAAAAAAAAAATAAACCCAATGCTAGATAGATAAAATATAGAGGAACATTTTAATTTTAGCGTACCTCTAAGTAGGAGAGTTGATGGTGTGGAAGAAGAAAGGAAAAAGAACTTATTGTTTGGAAAGGGGAAGGAAAGACATGATCATCCCCTTATTTTTATTTGATCATCTCCATATTTATAATAGTATAAGATTATTGATTTTGCCCTTAAACTGAGAGATATTTGAAAAGAAACGCACAACACGACACACGATTGTTAAACAGGACAGCGGTCGTCTCAGAAATGATTCCATTCGGGTTAACTTGGTTCGACAATGTTGTTCGAGAACCAAAATCTTCTTCGGTAACCGAGGTATTTTCATCTCGACTATTCTATTCGTAAGCGATTGGTTCAACATGTGAGATGTTCGAGAACAGAGGTTGCTCTGTATCTTAAAAAGGAGTGAAGATAATCTATTGATGGAGAGAGAAAAAGAGAGTAAGTACTGAAAGGAGTGAAAAAGAATTATTTTGAGAAATAGAAACTGCGTGAGAGAGGGGCAATGAGGAAGAGAGTAGGAAGGAAAGAAAAATAATTATATAGGAAGAAGAAGTGATAGTGACAAAATGAGAGAGAAAAATGGTAGAAAAGAGAGAAAAAACGAATTAATGTGAGAATGAGGACGATAGAGACCAAGTGAGAGCAAAAGTGAGAGAAAGTGGAAAAGAGAGAAAAAACGAATTATATTTTAAAGAAAGTAATACGAATCAAGTGAGCGCGTAAAAGAAAAAAGAGAATAACATAAAAAAAATTTAATGTAAGAAAGGTAACGACGAAGTAACAGTGAGCGAGAGAAAAGAAAAGAGAATAGGAAAAAAGAGAATTGAAAGGAATATATATATATATAATATATATATATATATATTATATATATATATATATATATATATAATATATATATATATATATATATATATATATATATATATATATATATATATATATATAGACACTTAACCAGACTAGACGATGTCATCTTCCGCTTTAAATTTAGACACCCCAATCTTACCTTGACTTGACCTCTTTGAATGTAACTGAGATATTGATACAAATTATTAACACTTACGCCCTTTTTTTTTTTAAATAACTGGTCTAGCCGTTACCATAGTAATTTTAATTTTAATAATGAATATGCTTATAAAACGCGTACATTTCATTAGTTATTCCAAAAATAATTTTCCTTGAAGATGAAACAAAGCTTGGTACTTTAATTCAATTTAATTCGAATAATTATATTGAAGTTTTCGGCTCTTGTTTTGAAACATGAGAACTCTTATGTAGCGATGGAACCATATTTTTAAATAAATAATTCTATTTAGGCTCGACTTTTTTATCGAGCACTGTGTTTTTTTAAAATAATAACAAAAATACTAAAGAACTTTGGATTATTTACCTAACGAGTTATTTTCCTATTTTCTATATATTTTTACACACACACATACACACATATATATATATATATATATATATATATATATATATATATATATATATATATATATATAATGTAAGAAAGGTAAAAGACGAAGAAAGAATGAGCGAGAGAAAGACAGAAAGTAGAAAAAAGAGAGTAGGAAAAACAGAGTAAAATTTTATTGAAAGGGAAAGAATATATATATATATATATATATATATATATATATATATATATATATATAGGAATATATAGAATTAAGAGAGCATAAAAGAAAGGGACTAAAACAGAAAATATTTTTTAATGTAAGAACGATAAAGACCAAGAGTGAGCGAGAGAAAGGTAGAAAAAGAGAGTAAAGTTTTGAGAAGAGCGAGCGAGAAAAAAAAAAAATATATATATATATATATATATATATAGAGAGAGAGAGAGGAGAGGCAGGCGAAATGAGAAAGAGTGATATATAAAGATGGGGGAGACAAAATAATTTAGAACGAAAAGATACCAAGTGAGACAAAGAATATAAAAAAAAAAAGAAATAATCAGTAAGGTGGTTCGGGGTTGGTCGTGACGCCAGCGGTCGTGACAAAACCAGCATTTTGATTCATGTCTCCCAAGAAGAGGAAACGTGACTTCACGTTTGCTAGGAAGCGACCTGCCGACAATCTCTATCAAAGAATTTTCAAGCGTCTCAACTTCTCGACATTCTGCCTGCTTTTTTGGGCCGTCAGACGATTTCAGAAATTTTACAAATGTTTACATAAACACACGCACACGGACACAAAGATTAGATACAAACTTATACAAGTCTTCTACATCAGTCGCTTTAACATTAGAATGAATATAACTCCGAAGAACATAGCATGAATGATTTATCGATTAGAATATGTCTTCCTAAGGAGGAAATCACACAAAATAGATTTCTGGAGACGCGAGTTAAAGTGATACTTTTTTTTAAATTTTATATTTTAATTTTAGGAACATTATCTGCAGTTTATTACAGTATTTCGTGACAAAAATAATAGTTATCGATTGTACAATTAAAATGAAAGTTATGGTGCCTCCGAAGTAATTTTTGAACTGATTCAATCTTTTTTCTTTTTCTTTTTTTATCAAATCACGAAATGAAAGTCATCCAGAACATCCTCTCTTCGAGATTCTTTCGTACCAATGTAGGTGTTCCCCAGAGCTGTATCCTTAGTCCTAGTTTCTTCTTGACTTTCACCAATGACCTTCATGACGGCAGCAATTCTCAACATTGTATCTATGCTGATGTCACAGCCATATACTATAATCATATCGATACAGTCCAATTGGCGGCAGATCATACAAATGACCTACAGTCTGTAGTTAACTGAAGCAAAAGATGGCTTGTTAAATTTAACGCCTCCAAACTTTATCTGCTCTCTATTAATCATCTCAGAAATCCTTTCTGCCTTTCATCAACATGGCTAATGGTAATCACCAGGAGAGTGATTTATTGCCACTTCTCAGGCTAAACGTTCTCGAATGACATGAAATGAAAAGACGAAATTGAATCCATTGCTAGGTCTACTGGTAATTTGGTTCACTGCAGCATGCTAGTCAATTTTTCTTTTCTGAATCTATCTATCGATAAGTCTACCATTTCTCGATGCCACAAATACTGCTTCCACATATGGTCCAGTGTTCCTGCTATATATTTACTGATTCTTGGTAGAGTAAATCAGCAATATTATTGGTCCCGATGTGGCGTATCGACATCACCACTTCAGCCACCGCCGTAAAGTTGCATCCCTCTGCATTTTCTATACATACATTCATGCTAATTTTTCCACCCCCACAGACAACGAATTGTAAATATGAGGACTAGTTAGTATTTTCATAGAGACAAAGAGGTATTATGGTGGGTGTAGTAAGAAAGAAATCCTCTTTTCGGCCTTGTTCCACATTCCTGTATTGTACAGAATAAATATTGCACTTCTCTATAGTGTTGTGTCTGAATGAGTGCATGTCAGTATGAGTACTTGGGATGAATGAATGTTTTATACTATTATAGTCCCGCATTGATTCCGGCCATTGAACCGATGTTTCTGACACTTTTAGTGATTGTGTGTGTGGGGGTTATTACTAATCTTATTTTTCTTTAGTTTCTTGTAAATACTTTTTTGTGTTCATATTGTAAATACTCATTGGGGCTACTTTTAGAATTGTTGTTTTATCCCCACCCCTACAAACAATGAATTGTAAATATGGGGACTATTTATAATTTTCATAGAGACAAAGGGGTATTATGGTGGTTGTAGTAAGAAAGGTACGTATGAATGTGTTGTTTTGGTGTAAGGAATATTGTTCGTACGATTGGGTCAGTGTTTGCGGCTAGCTAAGTTATAGTTAAGACAGAAGACCGTCCTTTCCCCAATCCCCTTTTCGGCCTTGTACCACATTTCTGTATTAAACAGAATAAATATCGCTCTTCGCCATGGTACATTGTGGTTTAAATTTTAATTGTTACTTTATTCCCCCCTCCCTACACGGACAAAAATTGTACTAATGGGTATTAGATAGGACTTCATGGAGATTCTGAGGCATTGTGGTGGATGTAATAAGAATGGTAAGTAAGAATACGATGTTTTGGTCTTAGGAATAGTGTAGTATGTTTGGATCAGTGATTGTGGCATGCTAAGTTTACTGTTAAGACAGAAGAAGACCGTCATTTTCCCCATTTTTTAGACTTGTGCCACATTTCTGTATTTCAAACAGAATAAATAATGCTCTTCGTTTTGGTACCTGGACTTTATTAATTTAAGCACAGTATTAGTTTAGCAAGAATGTGTCATCATTTTACAGGTGGATTGGCTACATGCAAGCGTAAGTTCCATACTAAAAGTTTCTTTTCTCGTACTTCTCGCTTGTGGAATTGCTTTCCGGCTTCTTGCTTTCCAGTCTAATTTGATCTTCAAAATTTTAAAATGCAATGTCAATCGTTAACTACTGCCTTCCTGATTTCTCTTCTATCATTTTCTCTCCAGAATAATGCTTCTGTTTTTGTTCTAATTCTTTCCAACCCTGTAACCCCTTGTGTATTAGTGGCTGTACTGCTTTGCATGGGGTAAGATCGATGATTATTATTATTATTATTATTATTATTATTAATAATAATAATAATAATAATAATAATAATAATAATAATAGTAATTAATTTGACATGATATCTGTTTTGAAAAACACTCCGGGCTAAAATAACGGCATATTGTAGCCTATTTTCATTTTAATTTTACGTGAGTGAGGAACCGCTGCAACCGTTTCAAAGGATTTTAGATATAGGAACAGCCACACCCATTTCCGAATGACCTAGACAAACCCAAAAACTCTTCACAACATCAATACCTAACAAACAGTCTGAAACGTTACTCTAGTTTCACTCTGTCGTGTTCTTCAAACGAGTATATGTTCAAGTCGTCTGAACTTCGCGAGGGTGTGAAACTTGTGTAACGACTCGGAATGTCCTCTATACAGAATATATATATATATATATATATATATATATATATATATATATATATATATATATATAAATATCCGTTCATATAAAATCCAAATAGATCCTAGTAATATAAAAACCTGTGTTAAATATGACTGAAGATTTTGCGTCGGTTGAAATAAACCTATTCCTATATATGAGGTAATTTTGGATATTATTGTGTAGTATATATACACACATACATATATATATATATATATATATATATATATATATATATATATATCAATTAAGAATTAATTTTTTGGCATGTCATTTAATAATCGTGTATTTAGGAATCAATCTCTCTTTCATACAAGTTTCATTTAATTTTTTGTTTATAAGTTTATGTCCAGAAAAGAATAAAATTACATGAGCTCAGGAAAAATCCAATAAAACCTTCACCACAGTAACTTGTCTGTCGCATTTAACGAAACTTGTATAAAAGAAAGGTTGCTGGCCACATACACAATTATTAAATGACATGATTCTGCAGCCAACAAAGAAAGGAGCACTGCATCCTTCTGAAAAAAAAGAAGAAATAACACGATATACAGAACATTCGGACAATTTCTAGATTATATCCAGAAAAGAAACAAAAGCAGACTGTTCTGGTGTATCACAGCTCATACTGACTAAACTTGCGATTACTTCAAGACGGGAGCGAAAGCCGACCAACTAACGCATTTTATACGAGATATGAGCATTCCCGGCTACCAGATGGCATTATCAGCCACTGACGAATTCTCTTTCTTCCAAAGGGCTCAACCTACGAGAGGGGGTATATATCATATATATATATATATATATATATATATATATATATATATATATATATATATATATATATATGGCGGACTCTCCCATTGTATTCGACGTATGAGGCCAAACAGCTTAGTTCCTAGGAACCGACAGCCAAAGACCAGCACATATGATTTGAATATAGTGGCTTTGAACAGTTTTGAATTCACAGTTGTCCATGTCCTAGACCAGATGGCATCCAAGGCAATAGAACCCAGTTCGTCCTGCTATTTACCTATATATATATATAGATACACCTAGTGAGCCAGACAAACCTACCTAGGTTTCACCTAAACGGATCGTCAGGGAAAGCTCTTGTATTGAGCTCTTTTGTTAGTTAGTTGTTACTCGTATCGGGGGTTTTTTCTTTGGGCTTCAGACCTGCATCTGTGCGATTTTTTGTCGGCAGAAGTTCATGTTTGTAGCTCTTTCTTTTTTTTAAAACCTTTTTTCCCTCGAAATTGATTTGATTAACAAATCAAAAAAAGGGTTTTTCGAAACGAGGTTATTTTTATTTATATATATATATATATATATATATATATATATATATATATATATATATATATATATATATATATATATATATATATATATATATATATATATATATATATATATATATATATATACTGTAGCTGAGTAATTGTAAATATAAAAGTTCGATATGATGATGACTTAAAGAGGGAAACTACCACACGTCATGCAGCGTTGATTCCTACGTCCACACGGTATCTATATAAGTAACTGGCTAGCTAGCCATGCAAGGGGAACCAATATTCTTAAGATCTGCCAAACTATTCATTTTATTTACACTATTAAATCGTCCCCACTCATTTTATTTAAGTAACTTTAGAAAACTCCTATATATTTACAAGTCCCATAAAATCTAATCGTTTCAAGAAAAAACGAAAATATTTCATTTCTCCTGCCAGAAAGATTGTTGGCAATTATGAAATATATGGACGAAAGTTTTCCGGAACCGGAAATACTACTGGTGACGTTATTTTTCAGACGCGGTCTGCATATTGACTAACCTCGTTAAATTTTTTCCCCAATTATAATATTTGACAATGAAAGGAACGGTACCCTGTAGTGTATGTTACCATTTCTGTGCTAAAAAAAAAAAAAAGCCAGCTTATTCACGACACGTCAGCTTTTTCCTTCACTGTCACCGAATAGGAAATAGGTTGATTGGTAGCTCAGACGAGAAAATATGTTATATATCTACAAAAAAATTTCTTAAAGTTGGTGCCAAAGAAACTGACAATATTTGCGTATAATATCATGAAATA